CATGGTTAAATAGAAAAAGGGCAATTCTGGAATTGTAAGTATACAAATTGTTAAACATCTAATTATGGTTTAAGTCATGTTAAATAATCAATTATTTTTACCAATCATACTATACATGCCTATTTCTCTTATTTTTATTCTTTGAATTTTGTCTAAAGAAAAAATATTTTTTATTGCTTAGTTAAGATAAATATTTATAAATAAATTATGAAAATTTCTCAAAACATCAATTTATGACTTTTTTGGAAACATATACCACAAGTCAATAAAATATAACTATGGATGTTTACAAAATTTCTCAATAATATTTTATGTATTAGTTAAAAATACATAATCAATAAATAATAGGTTTGTTAAACCATTTAAAATAAATAAAGATGAGACTATTTTTGAAAGATGAAAGAAACAAAAGCATATATCAATTGGATGTATATACTCAATTTGCTATATGTTTTTTTTATTTGTCTTAAAATTATTATAGCAAAACAAAGTTAATTAGTGAATTTATTAAATAAATAAAAAAATGATACATGTCAAAATTATGAGACACATGGCAGCCTCTCATCGCTTTGGTTTAGAAAAAAACTTACTATATTATATAAGATTGGATTTATACACAGCCTAAGACACTTTTAGCTTGTGACCAAGTGATCTCTAACCTTACACAATGTCTTAGAACAAAACGTTGTTCCTACCCACAAATCTGTGTTCCAGCAAGTAATTCGACTTGCCTACAAACCACCAAAATAACACAAACGTTTTTCTCTCTATTCTTTCGGCTAACCCTACCGGCAGAAGCCTCCCTTGTATATATACCCATATACCTATGAGGTGTCACCCTAGATTAACCTAGATACAAAAAGAAAAATATCGTCTCTCAAACAAAAAGAACAAATTCTAAAATAAATCTTCCTTAAGATTATCTTCAAGTGCATGTGTTTTGTGATTTTGTTTTGTGATTTAAACCCTCCAAATATCATTTTGATAGTATGTGCAATGGTGTTTCTTAAGTCAAGTTTTTAAAACAAAACAAATTAAATTTAAATAAAAATTGGTTGTATTACTAAGAAATGATCCTTAATTAAAAGATTTAAGAACTCGTTCTTAAGTGCCACGTGTCACCATTTGATTCGTGGATGATTTTTTTGACAAAAAAATAAACACGCGTACAACGCATTTATTAAATGCAATATATTTTTCATTTTATTCAATGTACTTTGAGAAAATAAATTATACTTAATAAAATATTTTCATTTTATTTTTTTATTATTATGAATCTCTAATGAAGTTCTACCATTGGAGGAGGAAAAAATTAAAATCTATTGAAAAAAATTTTAGAATATGTTGATGTAAAATATATAATAAACAAATTGGTTAGAATCCATGACGGTTTCCACCATTAAGATTTATCTAACTCCACGTGCCACGTGAGCATCAAACGACACATCCTCCCTTTTTGAACATATGTTAAAAAAAAGGTGTGTGATTGATTGTAACAAGTTTCCCCTGTTTCGTCATTTGACTATGTCCATTTTACATTTCCTAAACTCCTTTGACTATTGGAACATCGAAACTGTGTCCGGTTCAAGGAATTGTATTGCCGAGTCTATTGCGACAAGTGTCACGTGAGAACATCGATATCAATCGTACATCGCCCGTGACGGTCCGTCTTGGCTTCAAGCTCTCTTGGTTGCAGAGCCTGCTAATGGGCATGAGAGATCTTGATCAACCAGATTTGTCGCCTCGTTTCTGGTGAGAATCTTCACCTTCCGGTCGTGGAGAGGTTTAGTTTTCCACACCTTGAATCTTTGTCTCTCTTGTTATCTTATCACCTACTGGCTATTGGTGTCCTTTGAAACTTTGTTACTTTTTTTTTATGCCGGGTTCCCGCTCTTAATAAGAAGCAAATCACCATTAAACATGGTCTGAGATTTATCCTAACATCACGTGTCACATTTTTGAACATATGTTAAAAAAATATCATTGTAGCCTAACAGTTTACATAGAGAATCTCTATTCAACCTTTTGATTCCTTTAAATGTCAAAATAGTGAAGCAAAACTGCTTGTGCTATGTGAGCTAAATCTTTAAAACCACACAAACATCTCGACAAGATATAGCCTGTATTCATACATGGATCTTACAGCTATAATGTTTGAAAACTGGTGTTTATGTTACAAAGACCTGGTGGTTATTGGTTCTGAGTTTGGCTCCCTTCCTCTACTTGATGCGAAACGAAAATAAAATTAGTCGTACTTACACTTTGTAAATCAGTGACAACTCATAGCAAGTAATCAAATCACGCAAGCCCACATTCACAAGGTATATTTCTGAAGTCACT